ATACTAGAGGTAAAAGGAATCAGGAAACAATGGTTACCCTGAGGCCAATGGTTTGATTTGTTTGCAGGGCTCTTTATTTTGCTCTTTATTTTAATGTAGCATAGATATGTCACTTCATATTTTCCCCTGATGCCTAGTTAAGATTTCATCTTCTGATATTTTCCCCCTCTTTTTGATGTTTTTATGCTGACTGGAAATGAGAGGGAGTTGAGGACACCATAGACACAAGCAGGCCCTGGCCTGCTGCTGTCTTTAGCAATTTTTATCAACTGTTAAGATTGTTCACTCTTTGTATACAATGGATAGCGGAACACAGTGGAATGAACATAGTATTGAAGACAGAGAAGGCTGGCAAAATCCTGGGTCTGCATCCTGGATTTGCTACTTATAATTACTGCATGGAGTTGGATATGTTGCTTACCGCCTTTTGGCCTTAGCATCCTCTATAAATTAGGGGTTAATAGTGTTCATTTTAATAATTTATTATGAGAATTAAATTGGGTTGTCTGTTTAAGCATCCACATAGTATCTGGCATTGTAGCAGGCTCTCGGAATGTGTTGATTTTACCTGCTTTCACTAATGGAAAGTGCTGGGAAGTACTTTAACTTACAGTAAAAGATTTAGGTCATGTAGCATAAATTTATGAGATACACACAGAAGTGATTTACGAAGTTTAAAAGGTGAACTTTAAATGTAAGTTTTCTTTTCTTCTTTGTTCTTTTGGACTTACACAATCGTAAGCCAGGAAAAACAAAGCCAAACATTTGTGTCAGCCTTAGTTTCTTGTTCATGTTTCCTGATATGGATGGGAGCTACATTGTGGGCACTGTACCTTAGTGCTTATAGCTAGAAGAAGGGAGGCAAAAGCCAGAGAAGACAGGTGCAGAAGGAAGTTTAGAGGCACGGGATGGGCAGAGGAGAAGCATATGTGTTTGAGGATATTCTCTAACTTTGTCTCAGCTAATGTAAGGAAGTTGGATATTCATTCCATTGATCCTTCTTCTGATGTGGCAAGGATGGACTGTATTTCATGTTGAAACATCTAAACTCAGAGCAAGGGTCTTTGGTTCTTTATTGATTTAGTTTTATCTAATATTTTCAAAACACAATTGCTTTCATTAAATGCTCTAGGATCTATGTATATTTTGCAAATTCCCTTTATCTTCTCTTTAGGTATATGGTCATGTACTTCCCAGAGGCATTCAAAATAAAGCTCCAAAAGTCCAGAGTATTCTATCATTAAATAAGTTTTATCACACTGTACTTAATTAAGTTACAAAAAATATGGCCATATTGATTTTAGGAAGATTATAGAAATTAGTATTAAAATAAAGATTAAGTTAACCCTCTATTAAGCAGAAAATGAAATTATTGGGATAATCAATAAACTTTTGACTGCTTGAGTTTTCTCTGATGCTTCCTTGTTCTAAATATATTTAGCTTCTTCAACTTCTATTAAAAGGTTTTCTGAAACTTTTGAGATTTACTTGCATGAAATAATTTTCTTATGCATTAAATAGAAAGTTGAGATAAGGATGGGAGAAAAGCATGTTGAGAGAAAAATGATGAAATTTATTCTTAGGATGTTTGGCTTTCTATTTCGGTGGAGCTGTTGAAAATGCCATCTTCTCACATGTTTGTCATTATAGAATTTATACCTCTGTTATACCATTTGTTTAATTCTGTTATATTTTAAATTAAGAGGCATGAGAGTTTTCACCGTGCAATAAATATGATTCTCTTATTGCAGGTCATGCTGTGTGTCTGTTGTATTTTTATGTTTAAAGATACAATGTTCTTATCAGACTAATATTAAGATACCTGCAAGGTCATAATTTTAGAAACTCTCTGTGTTTTTCTCATCTACCATACAGCGTTGTTGGTCGGATTAAGTGAGGTCCTGTATGTGAAAGTGCTTTTAAAATTTGGAAGCATTGCACAGTCTAAGGGATTATTATTATTATTGAGAATTGTAAACACGACTAAAATCATATCTGAGAAATTGCTCTCTTAAAGCAGAAAAAATAAAAGAAGGAGAGTTACATGGTGAAATGACTTTTTGTATTTTTAAGCTATGTGTGTAGAAATTATGATATGCAAAAGAACTAATGTATTAGGTTATGAAGTATGAAATGTACTAAGTTTGACAGTTGATATCTCTGACATTTCACTTTGACACTTCTTGTTTTATGTTTATTGTGAAGGTACATCCTCAGTCTTTCAAACGCACATTTTGTCTTGTGATTATCTTTCAATTTTTTTTAAAAGCAATTTTTGTGAAACCATGAATAAGTCAAAAATTCGTGTTATTTTTGAGTATGAGTTCCATCATGAAATCAGTGCAGCACAGACAGCTTGAAATATCAACGAAGTGTTTGGGAAGGATGTGGCTAATGAACACACAGTATGTCAATGGTTTGAGAAGTTCTGTTGTAGTGATTTTAATTTTGAAAATGAGCCATGTGGGTGACCTGAGACCAAAGTGGATAATGATGAGTTGAAAGCTGTAGTGGAAGCAAATCCGTCTCAACCTACATGTGAATTAGCAGCAAGGTTTGATGTTACTATTCCAATAATATTGGACCATTTGAAACAAATGGGCACGGTAAAGAAGCTGGATGAGTGGGTTTCGTGTGAATTAATTTACTAGCATCAGTAAATTAAATGAGCATCAGAAGAGAATCATCTCGAAGCTCGCCTTTCTTTGCTATCATGACAAAAAGGCAAGCCATTTCTACACTGTATTATTCCATGTGATGAAAAATGGATTCTTTTTGACAATCACAAGCGTTCAGCACAATGGTTTTATAAAGGTGAAGTGATGAAATCCAGTCCAAAACTGAATATTCATCAAAAAAAGCTAATGTTGTCTGTTTGGTGTCCAGTACTGGTATTATCCACTAAGCTTCATGAAACCTGGTGGTCAATCCATTACAGCGGATGTCTCCTGTGACCTACTGGACAAAAATGATGAGGACACTTGCAATTAAGCAGCTGAGATTGGTCAATAGAGACAGGCCAATCCTCTTGGAAGACAGTGCTTGACCACATGTCACACAAACAATGGTGCTCAAACTACAGAAGCTGAATTTGGAAACTCTCTGTCATCTACCGTATTCACCAGACCTTGCACCAACTGACTACCACTTCTTCCAGGCTTTGGACCACTTCTTACAAGGAAAAATGTTTACTTCTCAACAAGCTGTGGAAAACTCCTTTTACGATTTCATCACCACTCGCTCTCCAGGCTTCTTCATTGCTGGCATAAATAAGCTACCGTTAAGATGACAAAACTGTGTTGGTAGTTTAGATGCATACTTTGATTAATTGTGCTGCTTCTTGTTTGGGATATAATAAACTATACTTTTGATTTGAAATTGGACATTTCATATTTAATGGCATAACAAATACTTAAAAAGATCAAAAAGTGAATAGTTAATCTATTTCCCCGATTTTTACCATTTGATTGACATTGACCTGAATTTATTTTGAAGGATTTATATAAATCAATGGCAGAATCATCCAGTGAGTCAGACCACTTCTGCTATCGTGATCGATTGAGTCGATGGGCTGCCAGATCAACTCACAGGGAAATTGGAAGTCATCCTACAGTAGAAGTCACTGAGAAGGTCAACACTATAACGAGTTCTTTACAGGTTAGTTTAACAATGGTTGCATTTAATAGATTTTAAGTAGTTTGAGCTAAGTAGTAGTTTCAGTCACTGTATTAGTGTTCTTGCTGCTATAATAAATTACCACAAAGCTAATGTCTTAAAACAACACAAACGGCTGGGTGCGGTGGCTCATGCCTGTAATCCTAGCACTCTGGGAGGCTGAGGCGGGCGGATTGTTTGAGCTCAGGAGTTCGAAACCAGCCTGAGCAAGAGCGAGACCCCGTCTCTACTAAAAAAAAAAATAGAAAGAAATTAATCAGACAACTAAAAATATATAGAAAAAATTAGCCGGGCATGGTGGCACATGCCTGTAGTCCCAGCTACTCGGGAGGCTGAGGCAGAAGGATTGCTTGAGCCCAGGAGTTTGAGGTTGCTGTGAGCCAGGCTGACGCCACTGCACTCACTCTAGCCCGGGCAACAAAAGCGAGACTATGTCTTAAAAAAAAAAAACAAAAAAACAAAAAAACACAAACTTATTATCTTACAGTTCCGGAAGTTAGAAGTCTGACACTGGTCTCATGGGACTAAAAATCAGGGTTTTGGTAGGGCTGCATTCCTTCCTGGAGGCTCTGAGGGACATCCTGTTCCCTTGCCTTTTCCATCTTCTAGAGGCTGCCCACATATCTCATCCCGTGGCTGCCTTCCTTCATCTTCAAAGCCCACAGGGATGGGCTGAGTCCTTCTCATGTCACATCACTCTACCTCCCCTGCCTCCCTTTTCCTCTTTTAAGGATGCTTATGATTTCATTGGGTCCATTCAATAATCCAGTAGAATCTCCCCATCTCAGAGTCTTTAACGTAATCACATCTGCAAAATCCCTTTTGCCACGTAAGGTACATGTACACAGGTCCTGAGAATTAGAACTTAGACTTCTTTGAGGGCCGCTATTCTGCCTACCACAGTCAGTAAAGACATTTGGAATATATGATAGATTGTGAAGAGTGTTTTGGGATAAAGCAATATTTCTAAATAAAATATTGTGGGAGTGAAACCAGTAGAAATTACTGTAGTGTAGCTTCTTCTGGACATGTGCCTTTAGAGAAGTTGCCCATGTTTTGGTGAGGTAGATTACATATGGATGAATGATACAGAGATGCCATTTTGATTTAGAGACTAACTTTTGACAGTGTTTGGAAGTTTGAGTGGAGGCAGTTTCCATCCTTTCCATAGAAAGGGTTTAGGAAGAGGTGGGGGAAGGGTAACATAGTTATACTGGGAAAAGAAAACTCAGAAATAGAATTTATTTCCTACTTATTAATCCCTTTCTTTTTAGCCTGGATAAGTGTGGATTTTGGCTTTTAATTGCTTTGGATTAGCATGTTTAGATAAGAAAAGGATAATTTTTGGTGGAGAAGCTATGATTTAATTTAAAAATCAGAAGGCCTGTTCTTTTCAGATGTATTTAAACTACTATAACAATGGAATTTTGGAGTGTGAATTCTTGTGCTTTCCTACCTATGAGGTACACTAATAAGTATATATTTTTGAAAGAATTACCTCCATTAATCTCTAAGGTGAAACCTAGAATATTTAGGTGAAAACCATTTCTGTTGTGATTAGAACTAAATTTGTTGTTCATAGCTTAAGGCTAATGGACACTTTTTTCTCCCTTACCAAGTTCTGAGGTGATGTTTATTGAAGTAACACTGATTCTAATGATTTGCTTCTCTTGTACGCAATCTACTAGATTTGTTATTTTGGGATTCCTTTGCTGTAAAGAGAGTATGAATTAGTCGAAGTGCACATATTGAAAATGGAGAGTCTTTTCAATTTATGGTTTTATTGCTGACTTATTAGGCAACCTTAAAAATTTAAATTATGTACATCAGATTTCACACAAGTAAACTGTAGTTGGATTTGAGTTTCTCTGTCAGTGGTGTTTAGATTTCTTTGATATTTATGAAGTACGTTGATATCCAACTTAACTATGATATAAATTGTATATTTTTAAAACTGTTGACTTAGCTGATTGACATACTACCAAGATCGATTGGGAAAAACAGTGTTTGGAACAATTAATACAGTCTATTTTCTTTTAAGGACACCAGTCGGAACCTGCGGCAAGTGGACCAGATGCTTGGACGATACCGAGAATATAATAAGGGACAGGCGGGTGCTATAGAACATGTGAGAATGTTTACATATGTTTGCAGTTTCTCTTAACCCACCTTTTTGGGAAAGCAATTTTTGGGGAGTGGGGATGTGAGATAAAGGAGAAGAGGTTTGGTTTTTAAACCCGCTTTACTATTTTATGGTTTAAATTTAGGTTAGCTTGTCAGATGGATTGACAGCTAGATTATATAGGTTGGATTCCATTGAATTTGAAAGCTTTAGGTCAGAGAGGGAAGAATTCGGGATTTGAATTGAACAGAGACTCGTTCAACTTGGGCCTCTGATACCCTCTATCGGGAGTTAAGAATTTTAAGGATAGTTTATTTTAAAGTAATACACGTTCACTGTTTTAAAAAAAATAAAACTCTTCTCTCAAAGCTCCTTTTAGCCCCACTCAAAAGAGGTAACAATTTTGACAGCTTCTTGTATATCTTTCCAAACATTTTCTATGCGTGTACAAGCATATGTGTGATTTCTTTAAAAAATGGAATTACATAAAATATAATGCAACTTTAAAAAATTTAATAATGTATATCACTTTCCATATGACTTTGTATAGTACTACCTCATTCTTTCGAACAGTTATATAATATTCTATAGTATGGATATATCTAGTTTTTTACTTTTGTTATAAAATAGCAGTGACCATTACTGTACATGTATTTTTTTTGTAATCCTGTAGCATTATTGGAAGTAGGATTTGTGAGTTAAAGGGTATGTGTACTTAAAAATTGCTAGATATTTCAAAATTGCCCTTTTAGGATGTGCCAATTTATTATACTTACTTCATATGAGGATTTAAGAAGGAAAGATACCTCAGAATTCTGGAATAAAATGCATACCGTATTTTTAGTTAATATTTTGCTAATTCTATCTTTCTGTTTTTCCTTCCTTTCAAATTTGCTTACTCATCTTATGTAAACTCTTGAAAACCAATGAAATTTATCATGTTTGCAATGATGAGTATACATGCAATGTGATGAGAAAACTAATGTTACATCTATACTATGTCTGTGCTGTACTGAATTGTCACATAACTCTCAAGTTGTAATTGATGGCTCATTTTCATCTTACAAAGTAAAAGTATAGTCATCATTATTCACTTGTAATTGGAAGCTAATAGCTCAGGCACAGGGAAATGTATCTTCTCTCATAAGCGTTTCTACTACTTATATTTAGAAAATAAACTTGGACATTCTTGCACCTACAGGATTTTTTTGATTTATGATGTACTTGACAGATGGAGCTAGAGACTTTGTATATTTCAGTAGCTCATGAAATGTTTTAGGTTAATTACCTTATTAAGAATGGGAATTGAGTCTTTGCTTTTTAATTTATTAGTAAAAATTGAAAACATTATTGTTAACTTTTAGCAGAAAATAATCCTACTTTGTCAAGTTGAATTTTAGATCCTTACTTATGGCAGTAAATTTCCTTTGAATTGGACAATTGGGAAATGAAATTATGTGTTAGAGAAACATCTATACAGATAATCATTTAAAACACAAAATATGTTCTATGGTGGTATTAAGTCTCCATAGTAGGCCTAGAGTTGAGTAATGCTGAACTCTCTGGGGGAGTGGTTTTATTCACGGGAAGTAAACTCAACAGATATTTCTATCTGAGTCGTAAATACGTAGACTGCAAAGCTACTCATACGAAAAATAAGACGTAGGAGAGCAAGAGTCTTTCCTTTTGTCTCAGCCTGTTCTTTAGTCTGGTCTAGAGTTTCCTCAGTTTTCCCTAATTCTTGTTCTGTTAAAATAGTTGGTTTTCAATGATTTTTCCCTCCTGCATACCAGAGGACTATGTCACTCATTGCCTTACATTAATATTATACTCACTCAATACAGTGATGATTTTTATCCTGCCACCTAGAAAGTACCTGGGGCGACACTTGCCATAATCTACGGGAAGACACGCAACTCAGAAGGTGTATTTCTCACAAGGGATTCTGATTGGCCCCTCTTTGAAAATTGTTTTCTTAACATTACAATATTTGCTGCCGTGGAAGATAGCATACCTAAATATGGGTATATGTAGTATGCCATCTATCATGTGATTTTCCTGAATCTATTTGTAATTGTCAAGTCCTTAAAGTACATGGTAGAATTAGCTAAGTTTTTTTTCCAAAGGAACCCTGGAGGGTGACTTTTTTCTTTTTGAGACTATGCTGCAACTCATGAATCCTTTTTCTGTGGAACAAGCTTATTTTTTTCTTCTTAAACATTGTGTAATAAGTTAATTCATTTTAACCAATCCTCAACTATTAAAAAATTTTCACCATGCTGAATGCCCATTGCCTAGTTGAAATTAGCATTCCTTTTTTAAAATATAAAAGATTTCCTAGAAAGTGAAATCAAATCTTTTGCCCTAGGGAGGACAGGAACTTTTATTATTAACTTAGATTTTATAAATGATTTTATGGCTAAACCTCAGGAAATGGATATAAGTGATATAAATGCATTTAAATATTTATTTTCTTAGGGTTTAACTTTGTGAACATAATTTATCACTGGGTGAGGGGAAGAGTTTGGAAATATAAATATTTGGTGGGATGTTTTCCTCTTAAGATGATCTCCCCCAACAGAGGAACTGTGAGAATTATTCTTGTTGGTCTTATAAAGTCCAAGGGTCATGAGTCAAGTTGGGCCACTTTTTGACTACTTTTCCTTGAAATATATGTGATTTCACCATTTTCCCCTTGAATCTTTATAGCCTCCAACCCTAAATTTAATTATTTGCTTATAATATGTGAAGTCTTCTCAGTGAGGAGTTGAGAGCATTAAAGAATCATATGGGGTCCCTGGTGTTTCATAGTCTCTGGGAATTTCTCCACAAGCTTGGTATATCCCATATACTTTTTTAAATATTAACTCATTTAATTCTCTTAACAATCCCATAAGGTAAATACAGTTAGTATCCTCATTTTCAAGATAGGAAAACTGGGTCACAGAATGATCACTGACTTGCCCATGGTCCCTAAGGTATAAGTGACAGAGCCAAGGGTAGGATCTTATTGTAAAACCCAGCATCAGGACTCATTTACCTCATTGAGTCATGGTTACTCAAATTTTCATGATACTATGAATTTATATTCCTGAGAATTGGGACTTTGGATTCAAAGTTCAAACGGTTATATAATTACACATTGATAAACTAACTTTTGGAGATTGTCTTAACTGATTAAAAAACAAGAGTCCAATGTCACAGAAGTGATTAATGTACAGCTGGTTCATTGTCTAGAATGAGAGTTGGATGGAACAAATGCAGAAACAGAATTGAGAAGAAATCTAGTGCTGAGCTAGGATTGGCATTGAAGCATTGTTAAAGTTGGCAGTTCTAGTTGCCTCTTGGGCAATGTGAATTCTGTGAGTTGCCTACACTAGCATTGATTTTCACCCTTTTCCTAAGTAACAACTGTTGATTTTTTCCCTGTCCTTTGTCATAGCCAATGACTCATATATTTAGTTGGATAGTATGACTTAGGGTCTTTGGGCTCAGTGAACTTCATGACCTTAAAGAAGTGTCATCCTGTGTTATTTCTTACCTTGTGAATTTCTTAGGAGGTCTGAGAACATTGGGGCCAAAGAGGACATATGAAGAAGGTTTTATTTTAAAACCTACTGTGAAGATTTGGAATAAATTATTATACTCCTGTGTTATATAGTAGAATTGATTAGCTTAGTATTTAGAATACTTCTAGAACTGTGTGTTTCTATTCATGAGAGAGCAGGGTCTGTCTTTGTGCTGATGCTATGAAAATGGAATTCCCTGAAGAAAGAATATTCAATATAAAAAGTTAATACTTTCTGCAGTGGATATTGGGCTGCAGCCGATGAGGCTGAAGTTGTTAATATTGGTTATAAAAGAAAAATACAATTCTTTTGATTCAAATCAGCAGATTAATTAAGTTCATTTTTAAGGTGAAGATTGGCTAAAATATAGTAATATCAAAGTAAACTTTAGAGACTTGCATTAATGGGTAATTTTTTTTTTCTAATTAAGTACTTTGATTAAAATTTTCCTTCAAAAATAATAGGCTCTTTCCATCTGGTATGGGAACTTTGGAAGAATATTGAATGTTAAATTATAAAGTCCAGGTTTTCCCTTCTATTTAACGGGTTTCATTTGTCAAATCTGTTTAGTGACAATGCAAAAGGATAATGTTAATGGTTTAAAGCCAGCCAGCCACTTGAAATATCCCAAAGCTGAGGGAGTTCACTCCTTCCTCCCTAGCCGAGTGTCACTAATTGATTGTCCCAAAGATAAAAACTGTTCACAATCTTTCAATATCTTTAATGTTAAGTAGTAGGAGTCTATGGGTAAGAAATCTTAATCAAACAATTACATTCTGTTAAGACCTTCTTTTTGTAAATATATTTTGAATCTTGAGAATTAGTTTCTTAGAGTCTCTTGTTTAAAATTTTATTCCCAAGTCTCCCAAGAAACTATTGGAGAGGAATATAACTTTTACAGAATTTTGCTTTGAGGCTAGTGGGAAAATGTAGACTTTGGAGTCAGAATTGAAATTGAATTCTGATTTTTCTTCTAGAAACTACTTCAGTGACTTTGGGCAAGTTACTAAACATTTCTGAGATTGAGTTTTATTTCAATTCATTCGGCCTAACTTCAGTTGCATGTGGGTATCACCGTGGCTATAAATAACATAATGTATCACAACATTCACAAAGATAGAGATATCTAATTATTTTGATTTTAAAGTATATGCTAAATTAGATAACATGAATAATAATGCTTTCCCCCCTCTTATATTTGTGAGTATATTATCTGTCCACCTAAAGTACAATAATATATTGCTATTAAGGGCTCTTTCCACATTCCATGACTGCTCATTTATTGACATTTAAAATATTATGTGGAAATGTTTAAAAATTTCTTTTATAATTATGTTTAGAGTATGTGTGATATATGAGGCTTTGGATATATGGAATTTCATTTAAAAATAAAAGAGCTACATAAATAAAAGCATATTGTTTGGAATGGAATTTCTA